GAGCAGCGCAGTGCCCAGGCACAGTTTGGTCACTACTTGGACTCAGGCGAAAACAAGAGGCAATTGCTAGATCCTGGTGAGAATCCACGTACCTTCCTCTGCGCGGCTCCCAGGCCCGGGCGGCAGGAAGCAGAGCAGCGCCAGGGCTGGGACCAGCAGCCTCCTCCCCGGCCCCATGGCTCCCGCCTCCCCGTCACAGCCCAGGCGAAGCCCTGAGGGCAGGGCTCTTAAAGGCTTGACCCTCCCCCTGGTCAGCACCTGTGGACAATCAGCCAACTGTGAGTCGGCTCAGAAACACTCCTCACCACCCCCCACGCCCACCCACAGGGCGGCTTCGCTTGGATCAAAGTGTCCTGAGGGTGTTATGAGTCCTCCCTCCATGGGGCTCAACACAGCTGCACTAAAGTCAACCTGCTCTCCCCCTGGGGTGACTGTGACACAGCTGGTGACACGGCTGGTGCTCTGTCCATCACAGGACACCTAGAGCCTGTGTCCCAGGTAGAGGACGCACAAACCTGCTGCCCCGGGACTGAGTGGCCCTTTGTCTGGTGCGCTCATGGCTGTTGAATGAACACATGGCACCAGGTCCTCCACACCCTCCCCCCTCCCCACTGGCTTCAGAAGAAAATGAAACGTCCATCATCCATCACTCTGTGTTCAATGCCCTGACGGTCGTCCCCAAGGGCGCCTGGTCCTTTGGTCCCTGGGAGTGAAGGGATGACTTCCGCCCCACCTGCTCCCTCCGTGCCCCTCCCCCTCTCTCTGCAAAGACACCTGTTGCGATTCCACCTGAGGGACAGGGACCGTCCCTGCACCAACCACTCTCAGCACTGCAGGGTCTAGTGACCATCCTGATTTCCCTCAGACGCGTCAGGGACAGGAAGTCGCCGTGACCACCGCTGCCCTCACCTCGTCCCAGTGCATTAGTGCAGGGAGCGTGGCGCACACTCAGGAGAAGTTTTTAGTGTCTGCTCATCCGTGTCACTTCAGCCCGCGCTCACCCCCACCAGCCTGGCTCTCATCCTTCGTCCTCTTCTTGGGAGTACTTTCCCCTAAAGCCACAGGGAATAAAAACATTATTCAGCCCGGCTGGCGTGGTTCAGTGGTTGAGTGTTGACCTATGAACCAGGAGGTCACGGTTCAATTCCTGGTCGGGGCACATGCCCGGGGTTGCAGGCTAGACCCCCAGCAGGGGGCTTGCAGGAGGCAGCCGATCAATTCACCTCACCACGTGATGCGAGTCCAGCACAGTGTCTGCTGTGCGGGGTTCGGGACCAGCCCACATCCACAGATGGCCCCTCGACACCCCAGGGCCAAGCTGGAGCCACCCCTGGATCCCACACGTCCAAAATGGAGGGTCCCATGTCCTCAAGGCGCAGGAGAGTCACCAGACACTGACCTCACATTCCTGACTCACAGGACCGTGTGCTGTAGAGGTTG